GCAGCGATATGACCCAAAGCCAAGGAAGTGACATAGGAAATCTCGCCCGCCTTTCTTCCCCATCCCTGGCAGTTAAAAATACAACTGACAACCGAGTAAACAACTAACAGGTTGCTGGCTTTTCCTGACACTCACAATCTGTTCCCTGAGGCAACCACTTCGCCCACTCTGCCTAATGGTTAGAGCCTTTGTCAGTTGGATGATGAGTCTCATGTCAGTGGAGCCACTCAATCCGCTCCTGCTTTTAACTCCGACTTTAAAGCAGGAAGCTTATCTTCAGACACCCAGATGTGGATTTGAGTGCCGTGGGAGAATCAGAATGAAAGAATGCTAGAGCTGGAGAGACCCCAAGGACCATGCAGTCCCTTTCTGGCACAATCCAAGCCCTCCTGACAGATGGCCAACCAGCCTCTGCTTCTAAACCTCCAGAGAAAGAGACTCCACTACACATACTCCACAGACAAATAGCTCTAACTTTCAGGATGCTCTTTGAATCTCTTTTCCTGCAGTTTGAATCCATGGCTCCCTTGTGACATACTCTCCAGAGCAGTAGAAAACAAGCCCTCCTCCCCTCTTCTCCTCAATGTGACATCCTTCCAAATATATAAACATAGCTCAGCCTTCTCTTCCCCAAGCTAAACCGTCCCCAGTTCCCTAAGATGCTTCTCACAGGGATTCATAGTTTCCAGAGCTTTGACCGTTTTGGTGGCTTTTCTCTGGACCAGTTTCTTAACTTGGAGCCCGGGACCCGGGGGGGGGGGGGTGCGAAGGGGTGTCAGAGGGGTCGCCAAAGACCATCAGAAAACACAGTTTTCTACATCCCACCTCAAAGTTTAAGATCTTCTGGGAAGGCCCTGCTCTTGGCTTGGTGGGGACAAGGGACAGGGCCTTCTCGGTGGTGGCCCCCCCGCCTGTGGAACTCGCTTCCCAGAAAATCAAGTCAACAGCATCCCTCCTCACCTTCAGAAGGAAATTGAAAACGGCAGATAATTTACAATGGTAATAATGATAATGTTATGGAAAATGGACTATGGACAGGCTTCCGATTGTCTTGTGCTCACTGAATGCATTTCTACACAAGGCTAGACAGCCAATATTATTGCACTTTTTTATTAATGTCCTTTTTATTTAAAACTAATTTACTATGTTTTATATGTAATTCTGTATGTGTTATTTATATGTAATGGCATTGAATTGTGCCGGATGTAAGCTGCCCTGAGTACCGCCCCCCCCAGGAGTTGAGAAGGGCGGGGTACAAATGTTTGAAATAAATAAATAAATACATAAATAAATAAATTCTGTTGGTCATGGGGGTTCTGTGTGGGAAGTTTGCCCAATTCTATTGTTGGTGGGGTTCAGAATGCTCTTTCATAATAGGTGAACTACACATCCCAGCAACTACAACTCCCAAATGTCAAGGTCTATTTTCCAAAATTCCACCAGTGCTCAAATTTGGGGAGAGCAGGTGTGCTCAGCACATGGCAGTGTAGTGTGCATGTGTGGGCAAGCGTGTAGGGCTGGAGGGAGGCTCACACCAGAAAATCCTTTAAGGCATTAAGATCATCTGGGGACATTAAGATCGTCTGGGGAGGCCCTGCTCTCGGTTCCGCTGGCTTCACAAGCATGCCTGGTGGGGACGAGAGACAGGGCCTTCTCCGTGGTGGTCCCTCAGCTGTGGAACGCCCTTCCTACAGATATCAGATCGGCCCCCTCCCTATTGGCATTCCGAAAGAGAGTGAAGACCTGGCTGTTCGAACAGGCATTCAACTAGGCAGTGTAATGGATTATTGGAACACGGAATAATGGACAATGAGACTGGATTCTGATTCTATTGATGAGACGTGATGGATTTGTTATATTGATGTATTGATGTTTGGTGTTTAATTAATTGTTATGCTACTGTTTTTAAATGTTCAATGATTTTATACTGTGTATACTGGAACTGTTGTTGTTAACCGCTCTGAGTCGCCTAAGGGCTGAGAAGAGCGGTATACAAATGAAGTAAATAAATAAATAAATTCTGTGTGGGAAGTTTGGCCCAATTCCATCATTGATGGTGTTCAGTATGCTCTTTGATTGTAGGTGAACTACAAATCCCAGCAACTACAACTCCCAAATGTCAAGGACTATTTTCCCCAAACTCCACCAGTGCTCATATTTGGGTATATTGAGTATCCATGCCAAGTTTGGTTCAGATCTATCCTTGTTTGAATCCACAGTGCTCTCTGGAGTTAGGTGAACTACAACTCCCAAACTCAAGGTCAATGCCCACCAAACCCTTCCAGTATTTTCTGTTGGTCGAGGGAGTTCTGTGTGCCAAGTTTGGTTCAATTCCATCATTGGTGGAGTTCAGAATGCTCATTGAGTGTGGGTGAACTCTAAATCCCAGCAACTACAACTCCCAAATGACAAAATCAATCCCCTCCCCAACCCTACCAGTATTCAAATTTGGGCGTATCAAGTATTTGTGCCAAATTTAGTCCAGTGAATGGAAAGACATCCTGCAGATCAGATATTTACATGATGATTCATAACAGTAGCAAAATTACAGTTATGAAGTAGCAACGAAAATAATGTAATGGTTGTGGGTCACCACAACATTAGGAAGTGTATTAAGGGGTCATGGCATTAGAAAGGGTGAGAATCACTGCTCTAAATCACCATTTAGTTTAGTATTTGGTTAGAACAAGGCAGAATGGTTATTACCAATAAAGCAAGTTTTGATGGTAATCAGAACTGGAAAAATATAGCCCAAAACAATGAAGTATTTCTGCAATTTCTAAGCCTCAGGAAATGGAAACTACAAGCAAAAGATCTAGAAATGAAGACGTTAATACTAAGACAAAAATAGCACAGGCTAAATAAGAGAAACTAGAAATTCCCTGTACAAGTAGCCCTAATGTAAAAGCAGAGAATGAAACTAATAAAAACAACGAAGATGAAAAGTTGGAGGAAGTAAGGGAAATAATTGAAATCCCTAGTAGAGCAGAAAGGGTTAATAAAGGTGTACCACCAAAAGATTTATGGTTCCAAAGCCTGTTGGAGACAGTGGGCCAAAGCTAGTGTTGTCCTGAGGAGAGTGAGTAGGCCAAAGCCTGTTAAAGTAAACGAATCAAAGCCAGTGTCGTCCTGAAGAGAGGGAGTAGGCCAAAGCCTATTGGAGTCAGTAGGCCAAAGCTAGTGTCATCCTGAGGAGAGTGAGTAGGCCGAAGCCTGTTGGAGTCAGTGGGCTAAATCTAGTGTTGTCCTGAGGAAAGTGAGTAGGCCGAAGCCTGTTGGAGTCAGTGAGCCAAAGCTAGTGTCGTCTTGAGGAGAGTGAGTAGGCCGAAGCCTGTTAAAGTAAACGAAGCAAAGCTAGTGTCGTCCTGAAGAGAATGAGTAGGCCGAAGCCTGTTAGAGTCAGTGGGCCAAAGCTAGTGTCGTCCTGAGAGAGAATAAGTAGGCCGAAGCCTGTTAGAGTCAGTGGGCCAAAGCTAGTGTCGTCCTGAGGAGAGTAAGTCAAAGCTTGTTGGAGTTAGTGGGCCAAAGCTAGTGTTGTCCTGAGGAGGGTGAGTAGGCCGAAGCCTATTAGCATCAGTGGGCCAAATCTAGTGTCATCCTGAGGAGAGTGAGTAGGCCAAAGCCTGTTGTAGTCAGTGGGCCAAAGCTAGTGTCGTTCTCAGGAGAGTGAGTAGGCCGAAGCCTGTTAAAGTCAATGAACCAAAGCTAGTGTCATCCTGAGGAGAGTGAGTAGGCCGAAGCCTGTTGGAGTTAGTGGGCCTAAGCTAGTGTCGTCCTAAGGAGAGTGAGTAGGCCGGAGCCTGTTGGGAGTCAGTGGGCCAAAGCTAGTGTCATCCTGAGGAGAGTAAGTAGGCTGAAGTCTATTTGCATCAGTGGACCTAAGCTAGTGTTGTCTTGAGAACAGTGAGTAGGCCGAAGCTTGTTGGAGTTAGTGGGCCAAACCTGGAGGGACCAAGTTTACCCATACCTAGGTTAACTGATATCCCAGAAGAAACTGAGGGAAGTCAACTTCCGCACTGTCTTCTGCTTCGGTCAGAGCCAACTTCGAATAATGCTGCATTCAATTCTGGGCAAAACAATTAAGGATATGGACAAGATGGACAAGTGTCCAGAGAAAGGCCACCCAAATGGTAAAAGGTCTGGAAACTATGAATCCCTGTGAGGAACATCTTAGGCAGTGTTGCTCAACCTTCCTTATGTCACAACCCCTTAATAACTCCTTCTGATACCCCAGGTTGAGAAACACTGGTTTAGAGTCTTCCAGGGTACATTCTTTCACTCCTTTTAATACTCCAATTCTCCTACAACTCCCAAATGTCAAGGTCTATTTTCCTCAAACTCCACCAGTGTTCACATTTGGGCATATTGAGAATCTGTGCCAAGTTTGGTCCAGACTCATTATTGTGTTCTCTGGAGATAGGCGATCTACAACTCCAAAACTCATGGTCAATGCCCACCAAACCTTTCCAGTATTTTCTCTTGATCAAGGGAGTTTTGTGTACCAAGTTTGGTTCAATTCCATCATTGATGGAGATTGGAATGCTCTTTGATTGTAGTTGAACTATAAATCCCAGCAACTACAACTCCCAAATGACAAATCAATCCCCCCCACCCCACCAGTATTCAAATTTGAGCGCATTGGGTATTTATGCCCAATTTGGTCCAGTGAATAAAAATGCATCCTGTATATCAGACATTTACATGACGATTCATAACAGTAGCAAAATTACAGTAATCGAGTAGCAACGAAATAATGTTATGGTTTGGGGTCACCACATCATGAGGAACTGTATCAAGGGGTCGCTGCATTAGAAAGGTTGAGAAACACTGCATTGGACAGAAGCACCCTCTGGGTTCGGACGGTTAACCAATTCCCAGTCCACCATACAGTGGCATTGTGCAGCCATGCTATGCCCACTGACCACAACATCAAGCCACATCCTCCCTTCGCCCAATCTCCTCCCACCAAACGAGATGACTGCTTGACCACCCCTTCCTACCTCCATCCACTGCCCTTGGGACTGCATGAGGAGCACCACGCAGGGGTCCGATTTGTTGAGGGTGTCGCGGTCTAGGAGGTGCTTGCAGCTGACCCTCAGCTCCACTTTGGAGACACAGGTGGCCGAGACCACCCCCAGGTTGGCCGGGTCCGACATGTCGCTCATCCTCGCCAGCAAGGAGAAGGGTCCGAGTCTGAGTTCACAAAGGAAGGCTTGGAAACGGTCACTGGAGAGATGTCCGAGGATCACAGGGCATCGGTTGACCGTCCGACGGAGAGGAAGAGCCTGGTTCGGCTTCAGCCGCCGCTATGCCTTCTCCTTTCTTCCCTTGTTAAGAGAACGCTGCCACTTGTTTCCTTGGTTCCTCCGGACAGCTGCCAAAGCGAGCTAATTAAGAGGCGCTTGTCTCCTTGCAAATTAAAGAGAGGCAGCAGCCTGTGGTCGTTGTCTTCCTCCTCCTCCTTGGCACAGACCAATCCCGGGTGCAGATGTCTCCTGGATCTCTTGGAGGAAAGGATGCTCCCGGCTTCTCCAGATCTCTCTGCCAAGGAACGCAGGTTCTTTTCTGAACGGTTCTAGGCTGGAAGAGATGGGATCTAGGTTTCAAACGGTGCCAGGTTTGGCCAAGGATGCCTCTGATGGAAGGAGAGTTGCCAATCCTGGCAGCCAGGCATCAACTGGTCTCTTAGTGCAAGGATTAGGAGCGAGGGCTATCTTGCCATGGAGAAGGTCCTGTGAGGAAGGAAAAAGAAACATAGGCCAGGTGAATGGAGAGTGTTGCATCCTCACAAATCAAAATACCCTACACACGCTTGAAATGGAAAACGACTGGAGGACTTTGCTCAAGGATGACCCCAAACACCATCCAATTTAGCCTCCTGGTCTGCGGAAGCTGCATTCACTCCTAATTGATGGACATTGAAAGAAAGAGAGTCCATAAGCCTCCAAGGAAGTCCATTTCATTACCAAACTGCTCTTACCATCAGGAAGTTCTTCCTAATGTTTACAAAGAACCTCTTCTCTGGTCACTTAGGTTCATTGGCCATTGTTCTAGGCTCTGGAGCAGCGGAAAACACACCCCTTTCTTCCTGACATTTAAAGATGACTGTCATTTCTCAGTCTAAGGAAAGACCATTTAAGGGATGTTTTAAATCATAAAATAACAGAGTTGGAAGGTACCTTGAAGGTCATCTGTTCCAAACCCTTTTTGCTATGCAGGAATCCTCAACTAAAGCATTCCTGAAAGATGTCCATCTAACCCAGGCATGAGCAAACTTGGGCCCTTCAGATGTTTTGGACTTCCACAATTCCTAACAGCTGGATTTCCCCAGGCAGCAACCAGCCAGACCTTGAAACTGCTAGGCCATTACATGCTAATCAAGGTGGCCAATTGCAACATTCACACCTGCCTAAAACAGACAAGAGTTCTTTCTCCCACCCTGGACATTCCACAAACATATAAAACCCCACTTTCTTGGTTTCCAATAGACCTCACAACCTCCCGTTCTTCCCACATACACCTTCCCCATCTTCCTTCCTTCCTTTCTTCCTTTTCCCTCATATACCTTCCCTGTCTTCCTTCCTTCCTTTTTTCTTTCTTTCTTCCCCACATACACCTTCCCCTTCCCTTCCTTCCTGCCTTCCTTTCTTTCCCTCATACACCTATCTCCTCCTTTCTTTCTTTCCCACATATACCTTCCCCCATCTTCCTTCCTCCCTTTCTTTCTTATACACATTCCCCATTTTCCTTTTCATCCCTCCCTTTCTTCCCCAGATACACTTTCTCCCTCCTTCCTTACTTACTTCCTTTTCTTCCTTCTTTTCTCCCATTCTTCACCACATACACCTGTCTCTTTCTTTCTTTCCCTACATACACTTCACAACATTTGAGGATGCCTGTCATAAATGCAAGCAGGAGAGAATGCTTTTGGAACATGGAGAGAATGCTTTTGGAGAGAATGCATTTGGAACATGGCCATACAGCCCGGAAAAGTCATAGCAACCTCTTCCTCCTCCTCCTTGGCACAGACCGATCCCGGGTGCAGATGTCTCCTGGATCTCTTGGAGGAAAGGATGCTCCCGGCTTCTCCAGATCTCTCTGCCAAGGAACGCAGGTTCTTTTCTGAACGGTTCTAGGCTGGAAGAGATGGGATCTAGGTTTCAAACGGTGCCAGGTTTGGCCAAGGATGCCAGTAGGCTGTTAGGAATTGTGGGAGTTGAAGTCCAAAACACCTGGAGGACCCAAGTTTGCCCATGCCTGATCTAAAAAAAAAGCCCACCACTCTTTAAGGTGGAATGTTCCATAGCAGAACAGATCTTACAGTCAAGATGTTCTTCCTAATGGTTTAATGGACCCTGTTTCCAATTTGGACCTGCTAGTTGATGTCCTCATCTCTGGAGCAGCAGAAAACAAGCTCACTCCATTTTTTCCAGGTATAATATTTTACGGCTATGTTCTCTCAAGGGCCGACCACCTGGGGATTCTGAGAGTCCAAAAGGGAATTTTTCCAAGTTCGGGTTTTGGGAGTAAGAGCTGAGGTTGCGTCAAAGATGGTGAAGCGACACATGTGAATGTTGTGATTCATTGCAGTTATCAGGCTGCTGAAGCTGAGTCTGGACCTAGCTCTTTTTGGAAGCAAAGGGAAGCCCCCTACACACTGATCTCTGGTTTTGGTGGGCTTATATATCTGTTGACCAAATGCTCAGGGACAGGGGGGGAAATCCTTTAAAAAAGGATAAGCCTAAATTCCCTGCACCAGCATGGTTCCCGACTGGGGGATTTTGACAGCTGAAAAAGGAACCTTTTCCAAACTTCACTGATGGTTTGGATGTTAATGTGACTCCAGTTCTGGTGCCTTAGAGTTTGGGCAGACATGTTTAACAAAGGGAGAAATGAAGGTTCTGGGGTTGAGCCTTTCTTGAAATTATGCTCTGAAGAGTTAAAGGAAGGAAGGAAGGAAGGAAGGAAGGAAGGAAGGAAGGAAGGAAGGAAGGAAGGAGGAAGGGAAGGAGAAAGAAGAGAGAAGGAAGGAAAGAGAAAAAGGAGGGAAAGGAAGAGAAGAGAAAGGAGTAAGGAAAGGAAGAGGGAAGGAAGGAAAGAGAAGGGGGGGGGGGGAGGAAGAAAAAGGAGGAAGTTAAGCCAAAAGAGAAAAGGAGAGGAGGAAAGGAAGTAAAGAATGAAGGGAGAGCAAGGGAGAGCAGGATGGATGAAAGAAGGAAGGGAAAAGGAAAAGAAGGGAAGAAGAGAAGGATGGTTAAATAGAATGGAAGAATGATGCATCACAAAAGGGCAAGAGGGAAAAGAAGGAAATAAGCAAGAGAGAAGGAAAGATTGAAACAGAGAAAGAAGGAATAAGGGGGAGACAGGGGAAAAGAAAGAAAAAAATCATAGCAAGAGAGAAAAGTATGGAATGGCAAAATGGAGGAATGAGAAATGGAGGAGTGCCTTGGTCAGACCACACCTGGAATCACACTGTGTCCAATTCTGAGCACCACAATTGAAGGGAGATGTTGACTCTAAGCTGGAATGTGTCCAGAGAAGGGCAACTCAAAGGATCAAGAGTCTGGAAAACAAGCCCTATGAGGAGCGGCTTAAAGAGCTGGGCATGCTTAGCCTAAAGAAGAGAAGGCTGAGAGGAGACATGATGAGAGCCATGGATAAATATATGAGGGGAAGTCATAGGGAGGAGGGTGAAAGCTTGTTTTCTGCTGCCTAGTGTCTAAGACGCAACGGAACAATGGCTTCAAACTACAGGAAAGAAAGGAGATTCCACCTGAACTTCCTGAATGTGAGAGCTGTTCAGCAGTAGAACTCTCTGCCAGCTGGATTGTGGTGGAGGCCCCTTTTTTGGAGGCTTTTAAGCAGAGACTGGATGGCTATCTGTCAGGGGTGCTTTGAATGTGATTTTCCTTCTTGCCAGAAAGGGGTTGGACTGGATGGCCCACCAGATCTCTTCCAACTCTGATTATATGAGTGGAAGAAAGAGAGGGAGGAGGGAAGGAAGTTTCAAGAACATTGTTCCCAAATTAAAAGAAAACAAAAGTGATAAGAAAGTGCCTCACGCCGCTCCCTCCCCAATATGAAGCAGAGTCCAAAAGCACAAGGAAGTCTCCTACTGATCTGGTTTTGGTACTTGGTTTTGTCACTGCCCCCTGGTGGTGCAGCAGGTTAAACTGCTGAGCTGCTGAACTCGCTGAACAAAAGGTTGGCAATTTGAATCAGGGGAGTGGGATGAGCTCCCACTGTTAGCCCCAGCTTCTGCCAACCTAGCAGTTCAAAACAATGCAAATGTGAGTAGATCGATAAGTACCGCTTCGGCGGGATGGTAACAGCACACCATGTAGTCATGCTGGCCACATGACCTTGGAGAAGTCTACGGACAACGCTGGCTCTTTGGCTTAGAAATTGAGATGAGCATCACCCTCCAGAGTCAGACACAACTAGACTTCATGTTACCTTTACCTTTACCTTTGCCAGTGCAACACAATGGATAAGAAATCTTGGCACTTCCACATCTCTCCCCCTCACATGCAAGAGATACAGAGAGGCACACTTACATACAGAATTTATTTATCATGTCAGAAGCGAGTTCAGAGTACAATTATAATTTAAAAATACAAACAACGTTTAGAAAATTTGGCATGATGCTAAATGTCCTTTGACCAGATGCTGGCCACTTGGAGTGCCTCTAGTGTCTCTGTGAGGTGGTGCACGTGGCAGGGCTCTGGCTGCAATGTAGGAGGTGGTCTGTGGTTTGCTCTTCTCTGCACTCACATGTCGTGGACTCCACTTTGTGGCCCCATTTCTTAAGGTTAGCTCTGCATCTCCTGGTGCCAGAGCGCAATCTGTTCAGTGCCTTCCAGGTTGTCCACTCTTCTCTGTGTCCAGGAGGGAGTCCCTTATCCGGTCTCAGCCACTGATTGAGGTTCCAGGTTTTAGCCTGCCACTTTTGGACTCTTGTTTGCTGAGGTGTTCCTGCAAGTCTCTCTATAGATCTTAGGAAGCTATTTCTTGATTTAAGGCATTAGCATGCTGGATGCTATCCAAATAGAGGCTGGGCCAAAGATGCCCCTTGGTCCTTTCATTGCTGGCTGCTACTTCCCGGCGGATGTCAGGGGACATGAGAGAACGTAACACAGGGGACATGAGAGATCGTAACACCGCAGGATCGTAACACATCCAGGCATCGCCTGGGCAACAGCTGGTTCACTCACACCAGAAGCGACTTGCAGCTAGTATCCAACCAATCAAACTGACTTGTATACAGTGATGTGTATTCAGATGCATTTCTGCACATGCATGGAGCACCTGTGCAAACATGTCATCCTTGGACATACATGTGCAGAAAGGCCAATGTCCCCAACATGGCTCATTGGTTTGCTACGGGTTTGGGGTGGGTTGCTCACAATAAGAAGAAAACAACATGCTATAGGACAGGCATGGTCAAACTGGGCCCTTAAGGTGTTTTGGACTTCAACTCCCACCATTCCTAACAGACTCGGGCCCTTTCCTTTTCTCTCTCAGCCGCTTAAGCAGCTGAGAGAAAAAAGGAAAGGGCCCGAGGCTGTTAGGAATGGTGGGAGTTGAAGTCCAAAACACCCCGAGGGCCCAAGTTTGCCCATGCCTGCTATAGGAGCATCAAAAGCAATGCCAAAGAAGCATTTCCAAGGTGATGAATTGTGTGACGCTGCGGGGAAGGAAACTGATAGGCGATGGTGCATTGTAAACATATCTTCACGCATTTCTGGCTGTTTTGTCCGGATGCATCTTCATCCAGAGTGATGTGCCAACCGCCGTGCGTTTTCTTTTTCTCCATAAGAGCACTTCAGGAAGCGAATGGGAGGCGGTGGCACATGCTTTCCTGGCAACTGTCATTCATTCGCACACGGAACCTCCTTGGTGACACACTCTCCTGAAGAGACAGCTACTCACTCACTGGCACAGGAAGGCAAAAACACTCCCTGTCATCGATTGGTACGTATCAGAGAGATGCCAAATGCACACTGAAAAAGAAACCTTGATGCCTGCATGCATAGGAGTAAGTCAGTGGTGCAAGTGCATAGAAATGATCATCTGCATCATCAGTATATACTGTATATACTCAAACTATCAACCCCAGCAACTATAACTCCCAAATGTCAAGATCTATTTTCCCCAAATTCCGCCAGAATTCACAATTTGGGCATATTGAGGATCTGTGCCAAGTTTGGTTCAGATCCATCATTGTTTGAGCCCACCGTGCTCTCTGGATGTAGAATTACTGAATTGGAAGAGACCTCATGGGCCATCCAATCCAACCCAATTCTGCTAAGAAGCAGGAAAATTGCATTCAAAGCACCCATGGCCATCCTGTCTCTGTTTAAAAGCCTCCAAAGAATGAACCTGCACCACACTTCAGGGCAGAGTGTTCCACAGCTGAACAGCTCTCACAGTCAGGAAGTTCTTCCTAAATTTCAGGTGGAATCTCCTTTCTTTCCTGTAGTTTGAAGCCATTGCTCCATTGCGTCCTAATCTCCAGGGCAGCAGAAAACAAGCCTGCTCCCTCCTCCCTATGACTTCCCCTCACATATTTATCCATGGCCCTCATCATGTCTCATCTCTGCCTTCTCTTCTGCAAGCTCAATATGCCCAGCTCTTTAAGCCGCTCCTCATAGGGCGGCTTAAACCCTTGATCCTTTGAGTCGTCCTCCTCTGGACACATTCCAGCATAAGAGTCAACATCTCCCTTCAATTGCGGTGCCCAGAATTGGACAGTGTGATTCCAGGTGTGGTCTGACCAAGGCAGAATAGAGGTGAACTAATGTAGGTGAACTACAACTCCAAAACTCAAGGTGACCGCCCACCGAATTCTTACACTATTTTCTATTCTGTATGCCAAGTTTGATTCAATTCCATTGTTGGTGGAGTTCAGAATGCTCTTTGATTGTAGGTGAACTATAAATCCCAGCAACTACAACTCCCAAATGACAAAATCAATACCCCAAATTCTTCTGCAAGCTCAATATGCCCAGCTCTTTAAGCCACTCCTCATAGGGCTTGTTCTCCAAACCCTTGATCCTTTGAGTTGCCCTCCTCTGGACACATTCCAGCTTAGAGTCAACATCTCCTGTCAATTGCGGTGCCCAGAATTGGACACAGTGTGATTCCAGGTGTGGTCTGACCAAGGCAGAACAGAGGTGAACTAATGTAGGTGAACTACAACTCCAAAACTCAAGGTCAGTGCCCACCAAACTCTTCCAGTATTTTCTATTGGTCATGAGAGTTCTGCGTGCCAAGTTTGATTCAATTCCATCATTGGTGGAGTTCAGAATGCTCTTTGATTGAAGGTGAACTATAAATCCCAGCAACTACAAGTCCCAAATGACAAAATCAATACCCCAAATTGGGTCCAGTGAAATAAAATACATCCTGCATATCAGATATTTACATGACGATTCATAACAGGAGCAAAACTGCAGTTATGATGTAGCAATGAAAATAATGTTATGGTTGGGGGGTCATCACAACATGAGGAACTGTATTCAGGTGTTGTGGAAGCAGGAAGGTTGAGAAGCACTATAATAGGTGGTCTGTGGTTTGCTGTGGCCACTTAAGAGTGCCTCTGGTGTTGCTATAAGGAGGTTCCCCGTTGTGCATGTGGCAGGGCTCGGGCTGTATCGTTGTCAGTGGTCTGTGGTTTGCTCTCCTCCGCACTCGCATGTCGTGGACTCCACTTTGTGGCCCCATTTCTTAAGGCTGGCTCTGCATCTCGTGGTGCCAAAGCGCCTTCCAAATCGCCCAGCCTTCTTGTGTTCCCAGGAGGGAGTCTCTCATTTGGTATTTGAGGAGATGTGACAAGGAAAGCAGCTTCCAGAGGAGGGTTTGCTCACTCACAGGCTCAGGAAAGCAACATGCCTGGCAAAGGCACCCTTTCCCCACATGGATTGGCACAGAGGTTTCCTCTGCAACATGACCTTGGTGACTTCCCCTCCCATTCCTAACCAGGGCTGACCCTGCTGAGCACCTAACACCACTAGGATTCGGTGCCTTTAGGTTGGAGGAGGCACTCTGGCATCAAGGGGGGAATCTTTCCTACTTGGAGCCGTGCAGAACTTCAGTTCCCACGTGCAAATTAAACCTGGGACTCAAGACGCGTGGATTCCAAAGGGCTGAGGGTTTGAGGAGGGGGTTCACTAGGGTATGGTGCTCTTCTGGGTAGAGAGATCCCTCATCTCCAGTGCCTTACCTGTGCTTAGTGCCAAGGGATTTCCTCGCCCCTTCTATGGCTCGGTGCCCCAAAGACTCACCTTTTTGCCGTCCCCCTTTGCTCTGCCGCCCGAGCCGGGATCGACAGAGCAGCTCTTCCTCTGCTGCTGCCTCCAAAGAAGCCAAGGCAAGAAGGCGAGGAGGAGAGAGAAAGAGAGACAGGCTCGGCGGAGGCGCAGGGCTTAACTGCTTCGGTGCCAGCCCGAAAAGCGCGTGGAGCATCCAAAGGGATCAGAGGGGCTCCCCTGCCCCTCTTCAGTGGGGAAGGGAGGGAGGCTGGGCCCAGGATTTCCCCTGGAGACCCCCCAGCCCAGCCCTTGCTGCTTTTACGCACGGCTTGGAAAACAGGGTGCTTGAGACTGGAGAAAAGAGACAGGCTTGTCCTGCGCCCACACCCCAAAATCATAGAATCCTAGAGACCTCATGGGCCATCCAGTCCAACCCCATTCTGCCAAGAAGCAGGAAAATTCATTCAAAGCACCCCCGACAGACGGCCATCCAACCTCTGTTTAAAAGCTTCCAAAGAAGGAGCCTCCACCACACTCCGGGGCAGAGAGTTCCACTGCTGAACAGTTCTCACAGTCAGGAAGTTCTTCCTCATGTCAGATGGAATCTCCTTTCTTGTAATTTGAAGCCATTCCTCTGTGTCCTAGTCTCCAGGACAGCAGAAAACAAGTTCGCCCCCTCATAGAATCAAAGAATCAAAGAGTTGGAAGAGACCTCATGGGCCATCCAGTCCAACCCCCTGCCAAGAAGCAGGAATATTGCATTCCAATCACCCCTGACAGATGGCCATCCAGCCTCTGGATTGTCGAAGGCTTTCATGGCTGGAATCACTAGGTTCTTGTGGGTTTTTTCGGGCTATAGGGCCATGTTCCAGAGGCATTTCTCCTGATGTTTCGCCTGCATCTATGGCAAGCATCCTCAGAGGTGGTGAGGTCTGTTGGAATTAGGACAATGGGTTTATCTGTGGAATGGCTGGGGTGGGGCAAAGAGCTCTTCTCTGCTGGAGCTAGGTGTGAATGTTTCAACTGACCACCTTCATTAGTATTTGAAGGCCTGGCTGAGCCTGGGAAAATCCTTTGTTGAGAGGTGTTAAGATGTGTCTGGTTGTTTCCTCTCTGCTGTTTTGCTGTTTAAAAGCTTCCAAAGAAGGAGCCTCCACCACACTCCGGGGCAGAGAGTTCCACTGAACAGCTCTCACAGTCAGGAAGTTCTTCCTCATGTTCAGAATGAATCTCCTCTCTTGTAGTTTGAAACCATTGTTCCACGTCCGAATCTCCAAGGAAGCAGAAAACAAGCTTGCTCCCTCCTCCCTGTGGCTTCCTCTCACATATTTATACATGGCTATCATGTCTCCTCTCAGCCTTCTCTTCTTCAGGCTAAACATGCCCGGCTCCTTAAGCCGCTCCTCATAGGGCTTGTTCTCCAGATCCTTGATCATTTGAGTCACCTTCCTCTGGACACATCCCAGCTTGTCAATATCTCTCTTCAATTGTGGTGCCCAGAATTGGACACAGTATTCCAGGTAAAGTGGTCTAACCAAGGCAGAATAGAGCATGGGTAGCATGACTTATGGATGTTCCAGTGTGCCTTCCCAGATTAAGGAATCCCAGGCAACATGTCCCAAATGCACTTTACGAGAAAGTTAGAATTGTCTGCACACCCACTTACCCCTAAAATATCCATCCTATTACACCTGGACATGCCCCAGCATTTTAAAAAAAATTAATCATTACATTTGGCCCTGCCACAGGTTTTTAAATGTGTCGTGATATTTTTGTTATTGTTTTGCTTTGCTAAGAGTTATTTATTGTTGTATTGTTGTTGTTGTGTTTTTTGTTTCTGATGTATTCTGGGCTCGGCCTCTTGTAAGCCGCACCGAGTCCTGCGGGAGATGGTAGCGGGGTATAAATAAAGGTTTATTATTATTATTATTACTTTTTTTTTTTACCCCGCCCATATCAGACCAAAGGTGACTCAGGGCGGTGAACTATTGGCACAGTTCGATGCCATATATAACATACATATACATCAATAAAAATAAAACATCACATTACACTATCTCTAAAAACATCAAACCTGTGAACAATTAAAAATTTTAAACGATGTCGTCATATTCAGTCCTCATCCGTTCCATCATCTTAGCCATTCCTAGGTTGTTTTCCAATTCAGGTTTATCTGATTAAGCTGAGGCTCCAAAAGCTTGCTCGAAGAGCCAAGTTTTCAGGTTTTTTTCAAAAGCTTAGGAGGGAGGGGGCAGATCTGATATCCCTGGGCAGGGAGTTCCACAGCCGAGGGGCCACCACAGAGAAGGCCCTGTCTCTTGTCCCCCCAAACATGCTTGTGAAGCAGGTGGGATCGAGTAGAGGAGGGGCTCCCTTGCCCCCATCCTCTTCAGTGGGCAGGGAAGAAAGCGTGGGCCCAGATTTCCCCCTGGAAACCCTCAGCCCAGCCCCTGCAGCTTGCAAACAGGGCATTTGGGATTGGAGAGAAGAAGCAGGTTTGTCCTGCGCCCACACCCCAAAATAATCACTCCCCCTGTCCTTTCCCCATATAGGTAAAGTTGGGTCTCAGTTTTTCTTTTCCCTGCTCTGCCCCTCTTTAAGGGAAGGGAAATGGGGAACGGAATTGGGTTGCTATGAGTTTTCCAGGCTGTATGATCATGTTCCGGAAGCATTCTCTCCTGATGTTTCATCCACATCTATGTCCAGCATCCTCAGAGGCTGTGAGGTCTGTTGGAAACTAGGCAAGTGGGGTTTATGTATCTGTGGAATGCTGCAATTAGTAAGCTTGAATTGCACCGAGTTGCCTTGCAGCTGCAAAGTCAATCAGTGAGCATATCTGCATAGAGGTAGCCTGGCCTCTGTTGCCTGGAGGCACCCTCTGTTTGGGAGGTGATAACTGACACTTAATTGCTTGCTGTCTGGAGTTTCCCTGTTTCTAAGTGGTCTTCATTATTTACTATCTTGATTCTGGTGTTTTTTTAATACTGGCAGCCAGATTTTGTTCCTTTTCATGGTTTCCTCTTTTCTGTTGAAATTGTCCACTTGCTTGTGGCTTTCAATGGCTTCTCTGTGGTGGTTGTCAGAGTGCTCCAGCATTTCTGTGTTCTCAGATAACATGCTGTGTCCAGGTTGATTCATCAGGTGCTCTGCTATGGCTGACTTCTCTGGTTGAATCAGTCGGCAGTGCCTTTCATGTTCCTTGATTCGTGTTTGGGCCACGCTGCCCATGGAGACTTGTCCACAGCTGCATGGAGTCTACCATATAAAATCTGTCAGGAGATCAAGACTCAAGATAATTTCAAACAGGACAATTATTTACTACATCAGAAGAAATATTCCTAAAAAAGACTCAATTTAATAATTCTCATTTGTGACAGACCAGAAGAGTCTGGCTCGCCCACTATGCTCTGCTCCATTGGGAAGGAGAGAGAGATAGTGTACCATGGAGAGTGTCAGATCCTGTACACTTTGGGCATCTTTTCTCAAGGGAAGAGGAAGGAGTGTGTTTTGGAGTCATGTTCTTTTTGGCATTTGCCCCCCCCCCCCCCGACTCCACATAGTTGGCTTCCACTGCCCCACTGACTGGAAATTCAGAGAGCTGAGGCCTTCCTAAAGTTGCTTTTACAAGCTCTCCTAAAACAGAGCATCCCTTTCCTCATCTTGAAAGAGTAGACCTCTAGTAAGGAAAGAAGGAGTGTGGTGGAGGCTTCTTCTTTGGAGGCTTTTAAGCAGAGGCTGCATGGCCATCTGTCGGGGATGCTTTGGACACGATTTTCCTGCTTCTTGGCAGAAAGGGGTTGAACTGGATGGCCCACCAGGTCTCTTCCAATTCTATTATTTTATGAAGCAAAGGATAAGAAGGATCCTCTAACCCAGACCTGGGCAAACTTCGATGCTCTACAAGCAGAGGCACAACACCATTGCTCAGATGATCCACAGGAACTTGTGCCACAAATACCATCTGCCTGCGACAAAAAACTGGTGAGATCACAAGCCTGAAAAAAGTTACACAAAACGAACTACTCTGGGACTTCTGAATTCAGACTGACAGAGTTGGAGCATAATACTCCTGACTCACGATCGTAGGGAAAAAAAGAAAGTGTGGATTGTAGAAGTTACAATCCCAGGTGACAGCAGGATTGACACTGGAAGAGCTTACATAATATGAGGATGTAAAGATTGAACTGCAAAGACTCTGGTACAAGCCAGTCAAGGTGGTCCCAGTGGTGATCGGCACACTGGGTGCAGTGCCTCAAGACCTTGGACCACACTTGAAAACAATCGGTGCTGACAAAATTACCATCTGCCAGCTGCAAAAGGCCACCCTGCTCGGATCTGCACACATTATTCACCAATACATCACACAGTCCTAGACACTTGGGAAGTGTCCAGTGTGGGATTGGATACAAAGGCCAGAAGAGTGATCATCTTTGCTGTGTACCAATCTTGTTGTGTATCAAACAACAACAACAAACCAGTACAGGTGGTCCCAGTGGTAATCGGCACACTGGGTGCTCTGCCAAAAGATCTCAGCCGGCATTTGGAAACAATAAACATTGACAAAATCACGATTTGTCAACTGCAAAAGGCCACTTGACTTGGATCTGTGCGCATCATTTGAAAATACATCACACAGTCCTAAACACTTGGGAAGTGTTCAACTCATGGTTTTGTGATACGATATCCAGCATATATATCTCGTTTGCTGTGACATACTGTGCTTTTGTGTCAGTAAAACAATAATATAATTTTCCTAATGCCACTGAAATCTTGGTACAAACCTCCCAATGAAGCAGTGCGTTGTAGCCACCTGCTGCATCTCTGTGCACAATTCCAACCCTGCCTTTGCATGCGCGCACACACACACATCTCTTGACATGTCTCATAATCCGCCCTGGTTCCAAGAAGAGCACAAAACGATTTGTTGGATCTGTGAAAAGGACGGAATTAGCCAATTTTTCCAAGGTATTTTGCAATGCAAATGTACAGGATGAGCATGTTTAATGTAGGGCACTGTGGGAGCTAATCCCTCCAAGCTGCTGGCAGAAATAGGACAGCGGTATTGCCTTCGTGTCTTCTCTGTTGAGACGTATGTGGTCCCTTAAGGATGGCATGGCTTTGCGAGAAAGGCCCATTGGCCTTGTGGGGTTCCTTCA